CTCAATTGCTTCCTGGAACACACATGTCCGCTTGTATTGGCAGAGATGACTCTAGTCACACAGCGTTCTTGCTTGTGACAGCACTCGACGCCTTAATTTGTATCGAACCACTAATTAGGCAGCGAATGCACATGACCGTTCAACCGTCGGTTCTTACAAGGTTCACTGTGCGCTTCACAGCATGATGGTGCAGGGACGCTTACTTTCGCGCGGACTCAGTTGGTCTGATGCATGCTCGCATGCGCTTGGCTGAGCGCAAGTTCGCCTGTGTGTAGCGTAGACAGGTATCGTTGGCAAACATTTTGTTTTTATGCTATTTGTGTTTGGGTGGTCTGTAGTGCAATCGTTCTAGAGGTTTGGACGGAAAAATGTGACTTAAGAGCAGCCTTCACAAGGGTTTTAGCCGGTAGCATTTCGTCCACTAAATGCCTGACATCTGCAACCAATTCGTTAAAAACCAGAGCTAGCGCCTCGAAGAAGCGCTGCTGCAAGAAATAAGGAATAGAATGAAGAGATCTCCGGCAATAGCAAATTTAGTGTGGATAGTTAAAAACAGGCAGTAGGGTGGAGATAACCAATCTAAGGAGGAATCTGATAGACCTTTACTAAAAAGGCGGTGGAATTTCTATTTGTTATGGAAGACTGTTCACGTGAAAATCACATGAGTGGGGAAACGAAGAGTAAGCAAAACATAAAAGATAAAAAGCTAACACTTAGTGTGTTCGAAAAAGCTTTGCGCCCTGTAGAGCTTTAGGAGATAGGACTTCTATACAGAAAACATCAGGAGCGGGTGTCGAATGTGATTTTTTCGACAACACGAAGGTTTTCCAAATCAAAATTCTGGGAAGATAGATTATATTCGATTATCTTTTACTGCGAGAAAATGAGTCGTACATAAATAGGGTTCTGTCATGCGCTGGCTTTCAGCTCTGTCTTCACGCCAACTTTGTTTGTGTTGCTGGTAAGCCTTGACTGCGGAGTGCGCTATTTGTCGCCCGTGCAGCCAATCAGATAAAACGGCGCGCATCGATTGGATTCGAGCTTACGCGAACCTTAATCGGCGAGGTGACGGAGAGCGTCAAAA